AATGGCTGAGCTGAGTAGTTGTAACAGAGAGTGTGTGATCCTAAATTGTAATGAACCCTAAAATATTTACTATCTGGCCCTTTATAGAAAATGTTTGCCAAATCCAGTCTTAAAATGTTATAGGAATGTAAAAATTTTGTTCTTTAAATATACTCAATTTTCTGACTGATATATATGTATATAATTTTTCCTGGGAAATGTTGAGACTTCAGTACTAAAATCATAAATGTTTAAGTCTGTTGTCTTTTCACCTGAAGAGTTTGGACCATGCAGAGCTATTCAATGTATTTATCTGCATTGATCTCATCTCTTAATTATGTGATGATGTATTATTATTACTATTATTCAGGTACTAGCTATCTATAATAATAGAAGGGTAATATGCTAGTTAGACCAGACGTCCTTCCGGACGACCTTCCCAATGAAGCCGGGTCTGTGAGGGAAGCCTGGGTCTCGGGTGCCTGCTGGCAGCCGCAGGTAAGCCCAAGTCCTGGATGCCAGAGAGAAGCTGGTGCCAGCAGCAAGGGGAAGGAAGGCCTACTCCTGCACGATTTTCATGCATCAGGCTTCTAGTCAATTATAAGTATGTAAAACATTTCATATGTGTCATCATTTTATACCTAAATAATCCTATAAAGTAGGTGCTAATATTCCCATTTGAGAGAAGGCATAGAGAGGTTTAATGGCTTGTCCAAGGTCACACAGCAAGTTAATGAGTGGTTAAACCTAGACTAAAAGCAGGCCTATCTGATTGTAAGTCATGTTCCTACACATTACACTACACTGCCTTCCTGGGCATGGAATCCTCCCTCCTGACCTTCCCCTTGTCTGAAGCCCTACCACACTCTCCCACTCTGACTTCAACCTACCCAACTTCCAGCCACCACTAAAAGCATATCAACTACTCACTTCGGCAGCACATACACTAAAGCTGGAACTATACAGAGAAGATTGCATATCATCCTTGCACAGGGACCATGCTAAACTCTTGCAAAGTCCCTTTTTTTCCTGCTGATCTTGGCAAAAATAAACTCGGGAATGGTGAGCCAGAAATTAATGAAATTGATTACTTCTACCGAGTGGGGGAAATGAGTAGTGGGATAGAAGGGGTGAGGGGGTGGGGGGGAAGAGTAACACATCTCTGAATAGCTATTAACATAGTTTTGACTTTTGAATCATGTTAATATTTTACATATTCAGAAAAAAATAAGTCAACAAGAATGAGAGGAATAATTCAACCTCAATTGAGAAAAGCAATTGGAATCAACAGTATTTCAAATGAATAACAATTATGGGGGCCGTGGGAGCAGGAGAAAACCAATTCCCAGAAACTTTTGAATAGAATCCTTTGATTATATACATCCATTTAGTTTAAAGACAAAAGATGCATACAAATCCTAAACTCTTCTTAATAGGCCTATTTTTCACAGTGTGAATATAACAATTCTAAAACTATTCTGAGAAAGTATTTCAATGATTTTGAAAAGTATGGGGAAGCCTAGAAGAACTCTGCGGGACAGGAATATAATTGGAAGTATAATAATCTACAATAATAAAAGCGTAATATGCTAATTAGACCAGACATCCTTCCAGGGGGCTGAAGCTGGGGCTGCAGCCACCGTGGCTGCAAGAGAGGGGTCCAGGCATCTGCGGCTGCGAGGGAGGATTGAGGCAGCTGCCTCAGCTGCAAGGGGCGGATCGAGGCAGTGAAGGCCTCTAGTAAATTTGTAAATTCTAAAATGCGTGTTTTCTAACCCTGCCCCTGAAAGGACCTAGAAACAGTGACACTCCAGCAGCAATGAATGAGTACAAGTATCCAAGTCTGATTTTGAAATACCAGTCCTCACTAAAAAAACAAGAGCTCCTTACAGAAATGGTTGGTTCCAGACCTAGGGGAAAGAACGTATAAGATGAAACTAGAATATCTTGTGCTAAAAGGAAGGAACTGCTCCCAAAATGACAGGAGCTATGTCAAAAGGATACAGGAGCAGCTGAAGGGGCTTCCTGCAGGCCACTCTCAGAGGATTTCAGCATCAAAGTAAACAATAGTAATGGACCATAACCCACTGAATAAAATAAGAAACCACCTGTCCGTGCTGATAATAGATAAGCCAAAAAATAAGTGGAGTGCTTTTTTTTCAATAAGAAGGTTTTAAAGAAATATATAAGGAATGATGAAATTAGAAAAACTGCCATTTTGCAACCATTATAGTAAAGACTGATTCAGGCAAAACTTACCAATAGATGCAAAATCTATGGGATACAAGTAAGAGAACAGGATATTTTCATAATCTCAAAGTATCTCCCTACGAATTGCTGGAAAAAATTTAACTCTGCAGTGTATAAGACTGGCAGACACTAACTTAGACAAGTGACAAAAATTAACGTCATAAATGAGACAAACCAACACAACACACCTTCTGATGTAGTACACTGAGAAGGACACACATCACTTATCTAATTTTCCTGCCAAAAATGCGTAACCTACTTTTCAACATGAGGAAAAATCAGAAAAGCCCAAATTGAGGGATATTATATAAAAGGCTGAGGAACTTTTCTAGAATAAAGACGACTAAAAAGACATGACAACTAAATGAAACCCATGATCCTATATTGGACCTATACTGGGGAAGGGGGCAGGGGGGAGGGAGCTATAGAGGAATTTATTAGGACAACTGATAAAATTGCAATATGGACACATTAGATTAGTTTAGATTAGAAAAGCATTTGTCACTGACAGGTTTCCTGAATTTCATAGTTGTAATATCTATACCAATAAAAGGGTAATATGCTAATTAGACCAGATGTCTTCTGGATGACCTTCCAGACATCCTTCCTGACAAAGCCGGGCCCTGGCGAAGCTGCCCTGCCCCTGGTCCTGGGTGCCTGTGGCTGTGGCCCAGGCAAAGCCACCCTGGTCCCAGATTGTCAGAGGCATGTCTGACTGTCAGACATCCCCCAAGGGGTCCCAGATTAGAAAGGGTGCAGGCCGGGCTGAGGGACACCCCCCCCCCCGCTCCTGTGCACGAATTCCACGTACAGGGCCTCCAGTAGTCATATATAAGAGAACATCATTGTGCTCAGTAACTACATTCTGAAGTATTAAGGGATAAAGAGATGACATATGCAATCCACTTTTTCAAATGGTTCAGGAAAATTACATATATGTCTATGAGTGTGCCTGTATATATAATACATGTGTGAGAGAGAGAAGAAGAAAGCAAATGTAGTATATGGTAAAAATTGGAGATCTGAATAAAGGGCTTTATAGGAGTTCTTCATGTTATTATTACATTCTTTCAGTAAGTTTGAAATTATCCCCCCTCAATTTTTAGAAAATCCCACCAACCATGTACATAGTATAATACTCATTTCTCTTCTAAGTTGAACTATATGGCAGCAGTTTGGTGTATGTACCACCTCTTTTTGCCATCATGTTCTCTGTCTCTACAGGGCCAGTGACTAGAGCTCTGAGGCAGGCACGTGTTTGACAAGGCATTAAATAAAAAATAGAAACACAAGCTCTGAACATCAGAGGCTAAGATATAAAAAATCCACGCATGTTTGCAAAACTTCCAAGCCCTTCCCTGCTGACATTAGAAAGGCATTGCTGCCTGTGCCCCATGTCCTGAGCTTCCCCCAGATAATCCCACATGACTTTCCAACTCACAGATTTTCCATTTGGTCACCCACTCAACCTTCAGCACTGTCATATCTTTTGCAGAGCTAAAAATAGCCATTCTATCAAACGGGAAGTTAAATAAGGTACTATTTACAATTAAGAAGATAACTTCCCTAAGACTATTTTTTTAATGATGACAGTGCATCAGCAAATCCAGGATTCTGACAAAATACAGGCATGGAAGCATGCTCTATTGCGTGAAGTTTATCATGTAGTCTTAGCTCGGTAGTAGGATTGCCAGCTCTGGAGTCAGATCTCTTGGAGTCAAATCCTGAATTTGTCCGGCTGGAAAAGTTAGAGCAAGCTACTTAAACCTCCTGGTCCTGTTTTCTACATCTGTAAAACAGAGGTTGATAACAGTGCCCGTGGATGAATCTCAGACATTATGTTGAACAAAAGAAGCCAGGAACAGTAGAGTACATAATATATGATGCTACCTATATGATGTTCAAGAACAAGCAAAACTATGGTGATAGAGGTCAGAAGAGTGGCTATCTTTGTGGGGAAGAGCTAAAAATACTGATTGGGAAGGGGCACAAGGGAGCCTTCTGGGTGGTAGAAATTAAATTTCCCTTCATTTGGGTGGTGGTTACATATGAGTAAGTATATAAATATTCATTAAGCTGTACATTAAAAATTTGTTACACCTCAACAAAAAAGTAAATAAAATGAAAAACACAGTACCAACCAAATAGAACTATTATAAGGATTAAATGAGAAAATGTATGCAAAGTGCCAGGTTCACGATAAGTCAGTGTTCTCACAACTACTTATTACAATAATATAACTGTTATTTTTAAGAGATGAATCTACTTTTCTTTTTGCCACTCCTGTTCTTATAGTTTTTTTATACCATTTCAAACTTCCTTCTCTTGCCTTTGCAGCTCCATAGTGCTCTCTTTCTATTTTGATAAAAGAATTATAACATTTAGAAAAGTTTGAAGAGCTTTTTTAAAGAAGTAAATAAGATGGCCAAAAGTATATGCACTTGGAAATAACACTAAATCAGGAAATCGCATGGAAACCATCAGATGTTAATGAACTACAGACCTAAGAGAGTTCATATGGATGAGTAGGCACCAGGGCCAGATTTTCAGTAAGTTCTAAATTCTAGAGGAAGTTTAAACTGAACAGAAGAAACTCAAGGAAAGGGTAAACAAAAAATGATGTCTTTAAAGCATTTTTTAGTGAAACATTACCAATCTATCCATCCCTTCTTAAAGGGCTCTCACCCTGAAGTTCTTTTCCAACTGTCTTGGACCTGGTAGATTTTCTGAAGTGTTACTCCCAGGTCACACAGGAATTTTTTCAGACTTACCTTTATGAAAGCACAGCCAGTACCATTATCTGTAATGGTGAGACCAAGTGAATCCTCAGATTTATACACATTCACACTTTTTTTGATCCCTTTCACGTGGGCAAATATGAAATCTTCAAGACCTATTTGTGATCCCAAGAGTTTTTCCATGTCAACTTTAGGTGTGTTTAAAGTGCAATATAAGATCTGAAAAAAGAAAAAAAACATTTCAGGTCAGTTTCCATCAGGAAAACATTCTGGTCATTCATTTACTTAATAAATATTTGAATGACATAGTCCCTGATTTATGACATAAGAGGTTAGTTACATCAATAAAGTACAGGGTAGGAAATATTGTCAATAGCGTGGTCAGGTGCTGGAAATTTCAAGGGAACACTTTGTAGGGTATGGGATTGTCTAACTACACCTGAAACGAATACAAAATAACATTAAATGTAAACGGTAATTGGAAAAAAAAAACAATTTTGAAAAAAGGTCATATCAACAATATTAGGTACTTTTTATTGTTCCCCATAAACCAGACTCTGTGCTAGGTAAATTACATCCATTATCTGCTTTAATGCTCACAATAACTTTATAAATACATTATCATCTCCATATTACAGATGAGGAAATTGAGTCTTAGTAAGAGTAAATAATTTGCCTTAAGTCACTAAGCCAGTACTTGTCAGTCAAGATTGAGTTCAGGTCTTGCCAATTTCAGAGTGGTTTAATCTTCGGTCACCTCCCATTGACAGTGCTGAAATCAAAGGCTGTGTTCCCAAAGGTCAGGTCATGCTATCTATGCCACAATGAAAATACATGCAAGACTATTTTTAAAAACTGGTAACAAAATGTTAATGAGGAAAATTTTATTTTACATTACAGTGCTTGAGAAAAGTAATTTAATTCGTGAATGAGGGGCTAAAATAAAAATGTCTAAAATGAACCTTACAGATTAATCCAATTCCTTAATTTAAAAAAAGAGGAAACTGAATTCTGGGGTGTGTAATGCAGCTTGCCAAAGTCACAGGATGGTAGAGACAGAATAAAAAACTAGAACATGTGCCCTAACCCTAAATTTAACTGGCAACCTCCTGATGCATGGGACGACACACTGCAAAGCTGTGTGGAGATTTTAAAGGCACTTCTTACATTGATCAGGTTTTTATTCGACCTCATTTTCCTTCAAAAATAGGATTCATTTTACTGAAATCTGCAGTGCTATTCTTAAGTTCGTCAACCATCCTTTGGGTAATTTGTGGGCCCAAATACAAAACTATGGAAGAGGACAAGGAGGATTGAAAACATGGCCTTGGTTTAGAAATAATGTACCAAACTGAAGAAGGACATTTTAACAGAACAGTTTTATACCAAAATGGCTAAATGAAAAATGTTTTTAATTTTTAGAAAAAGAAGGAGAGGGACAGAGAGAAAGAAACATCGATGTGAGCACAACATGGATCGATCGGGTGCTTCCAGCACGCCCCCCACCAGGGATGGAGCCCACAACCTGGGCATGTGCCCTAACCCTAAATTTCACTGGCAACCTCCTGATGCATGGGACGACACTCAACCCACTGAGCCACACTGGCCAGGGCTTAACTTTTTATTAAGTAATATTTGCCACAAAATATTGTTAGTCCTTTCATCCCAGAGCCTTGCTCAGACCTTCTCCCTATAGTTCTAAGTTTCACACCATTCTTAATTCCCACTGGAACCTTGAGCCTTAACATATCCATAAATCTCAGAAGCCTCGTGAATCTCAGACATGGTATAAATACTACTTATTAAATTGTTTTTTAAGCCACATCAAAATGTATCTGAATAGAAACAGCTCCCGCTGCTATACAATTAAAAGTCCAGCATGGCCTGCACAGCTCTGACCAAACTTCAGAGGTATGTGAAAGAAGCTAGTGATGAGGACAGGGGAAGAGGCCCGCAAGGTACCCAATAAAAGCCTACAAGGAAAACTACTGCCCCCACCCTTTCCTCTTTTCATCCAAGTCTATGAGCTGTGCTAACTGGTTGGCCTTTAAATTTAACCCTTTGTGTTCTCATGGAGGACATAATATATTTGACTTTGAAGTTAGTAAGTTTTTGCAGATGTTCCCTACTGTAAAAATTGTATTATTCACAGGAAAAAAAGTCATTCAAGACAAGAATGGGTCATATTTCCTATTCTAATGGTAAAATCAATGGTTTAATTAGTCCACTAACAAAAATCATTACTCATGGGTGGAGGGTGAAAGGAGTATGCATAGCAAACAGCTTTTCCTGACTTCCTTTCTCAAAATGATGAGAATAAAGAAGTAAACCTGGTTTTCTCCTTGTTCTTTTCCCACGAATCTGTTCATGGTATTCATAGTGGATCCAAAACACCACTAATATAAAAGCAAATTACCAGGTAGACAGGAAATAAAACATTAAAACATACTGATAATATAACAGAGCAGGGGGGGGGGGGGGACCTAAAAAGGAAATCGCACACAAAATGAAATTCTAATTCGTAAGCTGCTTCCTTTCTTTCCATTTTTCACATGCTTCACTGCAGAGCAATTAGATTTCCTGTAGGTATACCCCTTTTCCACTGTGCTCTCTCCCCTGCAAAATAATGTTCCATTCCAGGTAGCCAACAGTTGGCAGGGAAGGTGTCATTTTCTTCTGGAGGAAGGAGTGGAGCCAGCTATACCTTCATGGAATGGAGCTCCAGGGGAAGCTGTGTTGCAGGAATGTAACGGCCCCTGGGAGGTGGAGTAAGAGCCAGCCCTCAGCAGCAGCAGGTAAATAAAGCTCCATGGCTTCGGATCAGCTCTTCACGGGAGAATAAAAACCTAACACTCACACAACCGCAATGCACAACTATCAGCAAATCTATCTGTAAGTATGTGATAAAGATCTAGAAATTCAAACACATCCTCTGTACTGTATTTTGAACTAAAAAATAAGAAAGTGAAACACCACGTTCTAAATGTTGCATTCATCTACTCACCACGTGGGGCCCCTGCCTTTGCCAGGTTCTGAGCTGCACTCTTGATGTACAAAGAGGGGTATGACCAGTCCCCATAGGCAAGGCACTGCCTGGCTCGCAGATGCTCCACTGAGGTACCATGAGGCAACATGAGCCAGTTGTCCTTTATTAAAATCCATGTATATTTAAACCAAAGGAAACTCAAATACATATTGTAAACTTTCCTGCTTTCATTCATTTCCTTCCATCCAAAATCTAAAATGCCTGTCTGCCCATCCATCCCTATGCCCTTATTCATTGACACTGTTCAAATGTGACTGCCCAGGTGGAAATGATCATGCTTTCCACTTCTCTCACATCATTTAAATCTCGTAGCTCACTGCAGTGTCTGAGTCGCCTTGCCTTCAAGTCCAGTTGCTGTAACACATATTTGTCACTCTCACTCTGAGAGAGATGAGAACCTGGTCATCTTCCTCTCTCCTCAGGTTATATCCCAATGGCATTCACAGTACACATTCACTTATCTCATTGAATACAACATACCTGTGTCCTCAGTTGTATTATCCTCATTTTGTAGATGAGAAAATTATGATTTTATACAATTACAATTATAAATGCTTAATGGTAAAATATTTTTAAAATATATTTTATTGATTTTTTACAGAGAGGAAGGGAGAGGGAGAGGGATACAGAGTTAGAAACATCGATGAGAGAGAAACATCGATTCAGCTGCCTCCTGCACGCCCCCTACCGGGGATGTGCCCACAACCCAGGTACACGCCCTGGACCGGAATTGAACCCGGGACCCTTCAGTCCGCAGGCCGACGCTCCATCTGCTGAGCCAAACCAGTTAGGGCAATGGTAAAATATTTTTTAAAAATAACAAGAAAAAATAAAGTGAGGCAGTTATATTATCAATGTTCCTTTAAGAAATATTTGCTTCCAGAGTATATGTATACTAGATAAGATGTAGTACTCTCAAGGCAAGGTGTCATATAAGGAAAAATATCTATCCATTAGATAAACCTTTCTGAGGTTTTTCATTATGAACTGTAATGCTTAACATCTTCTGGAGTATCTACTGTTTATTTGGTGTTGTACCACCATCATTGCCAATATTCATAGGAGAGATGGAGTACTCATGACTGTTCGATTTTCTAGAGCAGCAAAGCCCAATAGAAGTGTCACGCAAGCCACATAATTCAATGTTCTAACAATCACATTAACAAAAGTAAATAAATGAAACTAATCTAGTTGGTTCCATAGTGTAATGGTTAGCACTCTGGACTCTGAAACTAATCTAATTTCCTCAATTATATAATCCCATACACCCAAAATATAATTTCAACATATAATAAATATAAAAATTGAGATACTTTTTAAAATTTTTTTTTATTGATTTCAGAGAGGAAGGTAGAGAGAGAGAGAGAAATATCAATGATGAGAGAGAATCATTGATAGGCTGCCTCCTACATGCCCCCTACTGGGGATCGAGCCAACAACCCGGGTATGTGCCCTGACCAGGAATCAAACCGTGAACTCCTGGTTCATAGATCAATGCTCAACCACTGAGCCACGCTGGCCAGGTGTATATAAAAGTGCTATTTAAACTAAAAAGTTCTATATAAAAGTTATTGTTATTATTCCTGGAATACAGGTACTTCTTGAATAATATACCTACACTCAACAGCTTCTTAAATTGCATTACTTTTCCTAAAGATAACAGATTTTGCTGCTTTTTAATGTCACAATCAGAATAAATTTCATTTCCCCCCATAAATTACATTATCCTTCAATTTTTATTGTTGTTGAAGATAATTCATTGACAGTAATCTTACCATGCCTTTATATACCAATCGCTGCTATATAGTTCTTCTCACAGAGTTATCATCCTTGAAACTCAATATGGCTAGAATGATAAAAGTCTGAATTAATGTGTAGAGCCCATTAATGACAAACAGATTACAAATGTCTCAAAAACACATCAAAATTCATTTCTAAAACTCCAGGAAGTTCATTTTCAACTTTCTTTTGTTTAATGCTTTCCTTAAACAGGAACTGGGTTGGCCCAAGATTCCACATGTTCCAAAAATCTCTGGAAGAAATGATGGGTTTGTGTAGCTGGCATTGCTTATATTACATTATTTGTGGATATGATTTTAAGTATAAGCAACTGGAACAGTTACCTCTTGTGGTTATCTGAAACAGTAGTGTTACTAAATATTTTAATACTACT